GAAAAAGTAGCCGCTTGTGGCTCTTTGAACCCATTTGTAGTGGGACAGGATATTAATTGCTTGGTTTGGGCAGGGGAGATAAACCAGCAGATTTCAATTCCAAATTCACTTCCACCACTATGGTACTTTGACTCAAAAGAATGAAAACATTAGCAATATAGAAGTGTAGGTTGACGTTGTATGTGTGTATTTTCATTGCTTAAATGTCGGTTCCTCACCCCCCCACACACACAACACACCAGAAAAAAAAGCGAAAGGAATACTTAGAAGCTTAATATTCCTATTTGTGATCTGAAATTTAGCATGGCCTTGAAGTGGTTTAAAAACATTCCTGGCTTCTTTCAGAGTAGGGTGCTTGGGGAGTCGGTTTAACATTTGGCCTCCGGTTTTTAAAGCGGCCAATTCTGCATGATGTAGCAATGGCTTCAACGGGTTTCTTTTCCTCTGCCAGGTGAGAAGCCTTACCACTGTGACTGGGATGGCTGCGGGTGGAAATTTGCCCGCTCTGACGAACTGACCAGGCATTACCGGAAACACACCGGGCACCGCCCCTTTCAGTGCCAGAAGTGCGACCGGGCCTTCTCCAGGTCGGACCACCTCGCCTTACACATGAAGAGGCACTTTTAAATCCCAAGACAGTGGATATGACCCACACTGCCAAGAAGAGAATTCAGTATTTTTTACTTTTTTCACACTGTCTTCCCCGGGGAGGGGAGGAACCCAGCTGGAGAGCACTACAATCATGGTCAAGTTCCCAACAAGCCAACTTGTGAATGGATAATCAGGAGACACAGGGAAACCAGAAGACAACTCAAAGAACAGATGGGGTCTGTGACTGGATCTTCGATCATTCCAATTCTCAGTCCAACTTGAATATTCCTGGACTTACAAAACACCAAGGGGGTGACTGGAAGGTGTGGATATCAGGGTATAAATTCGATCCATGAGTTGGGGGGAGGGAAGACCAGAATTCCCTTGAATTGTGTTCGATGCGATATAAGTGTAAAGATCACCTTGTATTCTCTTTGCCTTCTAAAAGCCATTATTATGATACTAGAAGAAGAGGAAGAAATTCAGGTACAGAAAATGTGTTTTAATAACCTAAACGATGGTGCTTGGTGAGTCTTGGTTCTAAAGGTACCAAATGAGGAAGCCAAAGTTCTCAAACTGCTGCATACTTTGACAAGGAAAATCTATTTTTGTCTTCCGATCTACATTTATGACCTAAGTCAGGTAAATACACCTGGTTTACTTAAACATTTTTATGCAGACAGTCTGTTATGCACTGTGGTTTCAGATGTGCAATAATTTGTACAATGGTTTATTCCCAAGTATGCCTTAAGCAGAACAAATGTTTTTTTCTATATAGTTCCTTGCCTTAATAAATATGTAATATAAATTTAAGCAAACTTCTATTTTGTATATTTGTAAACTACAAAGTAAAAAAAATGAACATTTTGTGGAGTTTGTATTTTGCATACTCAAGGTGAGAATTAAGTTTTAAATAAACCTATAATATTTTATCTGAACACTGTTTTTGTTTTGTTTTTCCCCTGGAAAAGCATGTTACAGGAATCTCAGTTTAAACACAGTCGGGAGGGCAGGTGAAAAGGCCAAACTTTACCTCCACAGAGATTAAAAGAAGACATTTTTAAGGCTGGGTTTACAGTAAGTACTATCAAAGTCTAAGGCTTAAAGCTGAATATTGGAGATCATAGAATTAAACCTGGTTTGGGTGGCTCTTTCCAAATGTACGGAAAAGTACATGAATGCAATTTCCTTACCTGAATATGAATTTCCAGGTACAAACCAGCTCAATTATTCTTCAATATGCTCAGTTTAATAGGAAAGTATTCATAAAATACATACATTCCAGTTTCATATTTTAAAAGGTCCTTATGGTTTCTCTTTAAAATTAAATGAAAATATAAAAATCTTTCTCAGAGGCCCGGCCTTGCCCTCAGAACAATTTGAGGAACAAAAGAAACCTTCCTACAGCGGAGAAACCCTAAGAACGTAGTTCCACAGTGCCCTCCTGAGGATTAAAGGGTTCATTTATGCTTAGTGGGTGTTACAGATACATTCTAGTTCGAGTCCTAAAGAGGTTAGTACCAAATTTTCTGGCAGAAAGTTTTAACACTCCATCAGTCCTCTGTAGATTCAGCAGACTGAACTAAGAGTTAATTAAAACATACTTGTAGAGCAAAACTTTTTAAGTGGTGTTTTTGTAAGCTTGGAGCATATTTCCGAAATTACTCAACTTTAAAAGGGCACTGATGCTTTTTTGAGGCGGGCACGCAAGGTTTGAACTTCATTTGTGGCAGTCACAAATTGGAAAGAGCATTTGTGACTCTTGTCGACACTTCGTACATTTGTAATGGTGATGCAGGGTGACCTAAGCGGACAAGCTCCCTGGCATCTTTAGACTGCTTATTAACTCTCCATTGTACGTAGTGTCCAGAAGTGTGGGTGCATCTTATAAATAGAAGAAAACAAATTCATAAGAGCCTGATGGTGGATCAACACAGAGTATTTTCCTTGGCTTTTGGGAGTCCAGCATGACTGGAAAACATGGCATGTGTCTTAGCTTAAAAGAAAACAGGTGCATCACTAGGATGGAATTTTATGTGGCCAAGAACATATTCAAAGCATATTTAATGACATGGAAAAATGCTCATGGTATGTTAAGTGGAAAAAGCAGGATCTAAGAGTATAAACAGTATGATTCCAGTTGCATAAGTTTGTGTGTGTGCATTGAAGGAGAGAGAGAAGCAACAAAGTTTAAGAGGAAGGCCTGGAAGGAAATGCGAAAATATCCATAATGGTTTTCTCCATGTAGATTTTCTACAGTTTCCAAATATGTATCTATCTAACTTTTTAGGAATGCAGGTGCAAATATTTAGGCTTTTATTTTTATTTTTTATTATTTTTAAAAGTTTTAATGTTTATTTTTGAGAGAGAGAGAGAGAGAGAGAGAGGAGTGGCAGAGAGAGGGAGACACAATCTGATGCAGGTTCCCAGCTGTCAGCACAGAGTCCAACACGGGGCTCGAACTCACAAACTGTGAGATCATGACCTGAGCCGAAGTCAGAGGCCCAACTGACCGAGCCACCCAGGTGCCCCTAGGCTTTTATTTTTGAAAGATCAGTTAAAGCTATTTAAACAAGAAGCCTTTTCTTGTGTGTTACATTGTGGCGGTTGCTCTTGTAATCTACCTTTCTCTCATACAGAGACTTCTGGCACCCGGTTGTGTATGAAAAGTATTTACTGAATGGCTGATACCATCTTCGTGTTTGCTAAGTGCCTGTTACCTCACAAGAAACGTCTCAAAATAGCCGAGCATACTAAAAATTTTCTGACGCAGGGAAACGTCACTTGCATGAACTTTTTCTAATCTGAAAAATCGACAGCAAATAAGGAAGATTTTCCAAAAATGTCACAGGGCAAAACTTTTCAACACGAGTAAATAGCTAAAACCACTCTCGTTCCTATCCCGTTCTGAGTGCCGAGATGTCCTGTCATTACTGCATTATGGAGCCGTTTACACTGTATAATAAACAGTACCTAACATTCGAGATGCCTACTTATTACCTTTTCCCTATGATATTTAATTTTATATGTCCTAGATTTTAACTTGTGCACACAACACACACACATACACACACACACACAAGATAAACAGTAGTGTTTCCTACACATCAACAGATTTCTTCAGTCTATCTCTCGCCCAGCAAAGTGTCTTTTCCAGCAAAATAGTCTTCCTACCTGAAAACCTGCTTAGTGCCTACAATTAATTCTGTTTCGGTTTGTTAAACAGGAACCTTCACCATCTCATCATGTAGAATGGTCGGGGGAAGAATTTTCTTCCATTCAAAAACTGTTCTAATTTTTAGAAACACGCGATGTTATTTCATATTTGAAGATTAACCTTTCTTACATATAATTTTACATATAAGAAAGCCCATGGGAGGTGGTCCTTATGCCAAGGAAGCAAGTCCACAGGGAAAATATTTAAAACAAGCAGTGATGGTGCCTGTCGTATTTTGATATATGGCAGTACCTAAATTCAGCAGCCCATGTCAGCCACCTGTTCTATGGTATGTTCAGCACACCACACACACATCCAGTCCTCCACGCACCTGTTTAGCTTATGTATTCCATTCTTCTATCGTGTTATCATGTATTTTATTTTATGTGTTTCATTTCTTCATATTTTCTTAGCACCTTCTAGAGTATAGTGACGTGTTTTTATAGTGCTAAACTGAAGCCATGTCTGCTTCCTAAAGTTCATTTATGAAACTATCATTCATTGTTCACATGCAGAGCCATTCAATAATAGTTCACATAAAACCACCAAGAACGCTCTACATGATGAATGCTGTGGAACATATCCCAGAGTGTTCCATTTGTGAAAATGCAAAGGAGCGACTGTTCACAATCAGAATGCTGTATGAAAAGAAAGTTTTCTCCTATTAAGTGAAACTAAAATGAAAGTTGGAGACAAACAAGCTTTGGAAGCCTTTACCTTAAAACAAAAAAGTAAATCTTGAGTAAATTTCTTACCACTTTCTGAAAAACTAATAAATTCTTAAATCCTAATGAAGGTACCTAAGAGCTTCAATGCCCGGGTTGCTGTCAAAACACAGAAGAAACCAACTGCTGTCATGTTAGCCTAAACACAGAAAATCTTGCAGGCTGATATCTAGGCTACCAGAGCCAGTTAGCTTAGTCGGGCAGGAGGAGGGTGCACAGGGTTAGAGCATCAATTAAACGGCTTCTCTGGAATCACATACACTGGGAGTCCACCTTTTTTTTTGTTTTAATTTTTCTTTTAATGTTTGTTTATTTTTGAGACAGAGAGAGAAACAGATCATGAGCAGGAGAGGGGCAGAGAGAGTGAGACACAGAAGCCAAAGCAGGCTCCAGGCTCCAAGCCGTCAGCACAGAGCCCGATGGAGGGCTCGAACCCACAAACCATGATATCATGACCTGAGCAGAAGTCGGACTCTTAACCGACTGAGGCACCCAGGCGCCCCAAGGAGTCCACCTTTTTAATTGTTTTCCATAATACCATTGATGTAATACTTTTTCCAATTGCTCCGGTCTTCTCCGGCACCGGCACCGAGAGGAGTCAGCATGTTGCAACCTGCCCTCCCAAGTCCTTCTCCACTTGTTCTTAAAGGAAAAGGAGGAAATAAATATAAACGCAATTTCATAACAAAAAGGAAATACACATTTCCAGGATCCTTTTGACATCTGATTATACCTAGCAGAGCATTTTCCACTGATACAACACAATAATTATAATGGTACCCTAAAGTATGAGGACCATTTGTCATCCTTTTATGTTTCTTTTCATGTTCACAGTACATGATATCATCTAAACAAAGCAAGAGACAAGAGAAATAGCTCTTTATGGAGACATAGGCAGGTAGGTAGGTAGTACGTAGGTAGATAAATGAAGCCTCAGGTAGAGGTTTGGCAATGATATAAAATCAAACAGTCAAACCTGTCCAGGCCAGGGGGCGTTGAGGGGGATTATAATACTTATGTCACCTATAATATTTGAATATGTACTAACTGGCATTGGATCAACATGTTACTGAACGGTGGCCATATCCACACAACACTCAGATGCCGTATCTGCATACCCATTTAAAAGCTAAACTTGGTAAAAAATAACTTTACAGAGATACTGAAAGAACTCTAGATACACTCGCTGAAAGCTAGAGAGATTAGTGAATCAATGTAAACCACAAAGCAGAGTCTCTGAGGCGTGATAGATGGGATTTTTTCAGTAAGCACAAGAGTGCCTCTTCTCTGATCCGGTCACTTTTTGCTGGTGTATAATAACACCTCACTTCCGCACAAAGCCGTGAGATCTATGAAGCATTTACACTCTCCATTACTGTAACAGATCCTCACAATGAAGACAGGGGTGGGATCTCCCTCTCCATCCCCATTTTATGGAGCGGGAAACTGAGTTTCCCTTTACAAGTTAGCGTTTGGTTTTTGTTTTTCATTCATTCAACGCATTTTTCTCCTAAGACTTCTGTCTTCAGTCTGCTGGGCAGGGAAGGTCACATGCAAAATGGATACACACCAATTCAGAAGGATTTGCTAATATCCAGGTCCTTCCAACAAAGCCGGTAAAAAGTCAAAAGCCCCCCAAGTTCTGTCTCCCAACCGAAGTGCTATTTAAAGGTAGACCGACAGGGAAGCCCGAGTTTCCCATAGATGTTTTTTGAGCTGGTCACTATGCCATGAGTGTATCCACACTTTCAGTTCGAGGTGGAAGAAAAAGCTCCTGTTTTTATCCCCAGCTCTGGCCCAACACACAGCTCTCCTGATCAAACAGATCTGGTCAAGCCCCTCCCCTACTCATTAACTTCCCATGGTCCCCAGTGCCTAGTAGATAAAGATTTAACATGGTCAGTCCTTCAACGGTAGCTCCCACCTAGCGTCCAGTATTCTCTCCTTAAATATCCAATCATCCTTAATTGTACCAGCCATGCTAAACTACTCTTGACCCTCAATGCACCATGCCTATTTCAGCCTCTGAACCTTTGCTTAGAGATGTGGGTCTCTCCTGCTTCTGGAAAAACCCACATTCCCCTGACAAGCTCCTATATATTCTTTGAAGCCCAGTTTTTATTAAAAGTCTCCCACGTTTCAGTCAATCTAGATCTTTCATTAAACTCTTATCCTCACATGCTACAAGGTTTGGTGGGTCTGGCTCCTCCAACAGACACAAGTCCCTGGAAGGCACTGGAAGCTTCCCTTATTTGCCCTTGAATACCCACAGTTACTGCATTTAATTGAGTAAAATTAATTACTTATTGCATAGTTACCCCCAAATCCTAGCATCTCTTTTCAGAGGATGCTTTCTTGCCAGGTGATTCTCTGCATTGATTCTAGAAAGAATTTTGTTCATTTGGAGGGTTTGCTGTGTATTAGGGGAGGCAGATGGATGTCAGGTGACCCACAGGAAGCAGTTAGGGGACCACTGGGCATGGCCTTCAGGAAGTCAGAATTTGGAAAAAGGCCCAAAAAAGACACTATTTTATCCTTATCCTTGGATAATCCATTGTGCCTCTTTACAAGGGCAAAATTATAAGTGTCCTGTATACAGATGACAATGAAGGTTTAAAAAAAAAAATCACACTTTAAAAGCTAACGAAGGCACTTCACGCTGTAGGATCCTGGGTGAGCCAGTTTGCCCGAATGAGGAAGGCTCATCCATCCATCCGTGGCTGTGAAGTCACCACCCACCTGCTTTGCGGTTCTTCAAGTTTGAAACCCTCCTAGCTGCTTGCATGACAGTAGTTTTCTGACTTCTGAACATGTCCAAATGAGCTGAATCTAGAAAACAGTGCATGAAGTTAACAAATGCCCCTGCCATTGAGCCCCCATTAGTGCTTCACAGAGGAATGGGGAACAGACTGCAAGTTCTAAATCTGTGAAATTACATAGACCCTGTCAGTGAGGAAGGAAGGAAGAAGGAAGGAAGGAAGGAAGGAAGGAAGGAAATATACATAGACGTTGTAAATAAATAAATAAATAAATAAATACTACATAAGCTTTGTAAATAAATAAACAAATAAATAAATGATAAATATTACATAGACTTTGTAAAGAAATAAATATCACAATAAACTTTGTAAATAAATAAATAAATAAATAAATAAATAAATAAATAAAAATTACACAGACTTTCTGAGCAGGAAAGTATCTTCAAGACCATCTAACTCAAGGAGAAAACGGAGGCCCACCTAAAAGACTGGGCTTGCCCAAGGTCACGTCAAGTCTGGATCAGAACACCAACCAGCACCTTGAGCTCATTCAGCAGGCCAGCAGCTGACTGCTGTATCCTGAGAACCCAAGGGAAATTTAGAGGGGAATAAAGAATTTAAAAAACAAAAAGGATGGTTTTAGTTACTTTTTTATACTCTCCTCTTTATTCATTTTTTTTAAGAGCGAGGGAGAGAGAGAGAGAGAAAGTGTGATCAGGGGGAGAGAGGCAGAGGAAGAGAGAGAATCTTAAGAGGCTCCGTGTTCAGCATAGAGCCCAACTCTGGCTGGATCCCAAGACCTTGGGGTCATGACCTGAGCCAAAATGAAGAGTCAGACGGTCAACTGACTGAGCCACCCAGGTACCCCCAAAAGAATGATTTTAAAAGGAAAGTGCTAGTGCTCACTTTGGCAGCACGTATACTAAAATTGGAACAATACAGGGGAGACTAGCACGGCTTATGCCTAAGGATGGCACGCAAATTCATGAAGCGTTCCATATACAAAAAAAAAAAAAAAAAGAGGGAATAAAAAACAGGACAGTTCTAAATTCGATGTAACATCCTGTCAGCTGATGTCCAAAAAAGCATTTTACTGTTCTCTACAGTGCTTCTTTTAGTGTTCTGCTACCAGCCAGCTAAAGCAGGCACTATAACACTCACCACTGTTCCCTTCTTTGGAGAACATAGGAGCCATTCCATAAGAGTGCTAATATAAAATATAATTCAGGGGGCGCCTGGGTGGCGCAGTCGGTTGAGCATCCGACTTCAGCCCGGTCACGATCTCGCGGTCCGTGAGTTCGAGCCCCGCGTCAGGCTCTGGGCTGATGGCTCGGAGCCTGGAGCCTGTTTCCGATTCTGTGTCTCCCTCTCTCTCTGCCCCTCCCCCGTTCATGCTCTGTCTCTCTCTGTCCCAAAAATAAATAAATGTTGAAAAAAAAATTTTAAAAAAAATAAAATAAAATATAATTCAGGCTTCGTTCTGCTTCTTTCATGCAATTCCATTCAAACATATATAATCCGCTCAAAGACCTACTTTACCAGCCACTGTGCAAAGGGTAGGAGAAACAAGGGTCAAGAAGAATACATAAATACGCACGTCTGCAGCTACTTTTTCCTGGTACAATGGCTCCACGAGGGGTATAAAGTGTAACTTAAATGAAAATCAGCAACCTAGCCAGTAGAAACTGTTTGCCTCTCTTAGAAAGTGATTGTATAGTTCTTTGACAGACTCAACCACGTTAACTACAGCAACATATACCATTTTTTCCCCTACAATTTTCTTGACTGCTTATTATTTTAGATACATCCAACTTGTTGATCAGGTGCATGTTAAGGCAGGTTAAAACGTGTTATTCTGGTTTGGCACGAAGGTTTCAACCTTATTCAACAAAATATTTCAAACTTCTGCTGGAATTAATGATTCAGGCAAAATGGAACTTAATCTGCGATCCAAGACACCTTTCTATGGTTTGGAGACTGCATATCTAGACCAGGAGGACAACCTGACTTTGTTTCAGGCACAATTAACTTCATAGCTAGGGAGCATAACTGACTTCGTAAGGCTCTTTTGGTGCCAAAGCTTGTAGAAACAGAGGAGGCTTTGCCTAAGGGATTCTTTGCATTAAAGACTTTGTTAGGCAAAGCCACTCTGGCTTGGGAGTCTGATTTGCAATTTGGGCCTTTGTAAAAGGATTAGAAGATCCCTATTGTTTAATGTTTGGATCTCAATTTGCATTTGGAAATGCATGACCTCTTCCAGGTTTAGAGTTCTTTATTTTCAGTTTCTCCTCCTGATATACAATCAATGCGGTATGTTAAAAAATTGATAAAACTGCTCAGCCGAATGTTTGCACTGATTAAGGGGAATGTGGTAGATTGATTTTCTCCGTGAATGGTGGAGTCCAGCAATACCGATCCAGTCATCTCTTTAGGAACTGACAAATAACTCCTAGGTTTGGGTACACACACATTTCATTTATTTCCTTAGTCGGAATGCATGGGCACTTTGTTTAAAAACAGACACTGGGAGGGAGGAGAGGGTGGGTGATGGGTATTGAGGAGGGCACCTTTTGGGATGAGCACTGGGTGTTGTATGGAAACCAATTTGACAATAAATTTCATATATAAATTAAAAAAATAAATTAATTAAAAAAAAAAAAAACAGACACTGGGTCTACAAAAGAAACTGACAAGAAAAAAATCCTCTGACCGACCACCTCAGGACACACTCGAATACTTTTGTCCAACATCTTCCTTTAAACATAAAGGTTTGAGAAAAATTATTTCAGGTTTGTGATAACAATACCCTCGGCTGTACACAATATTTAACTACCTGTCCCTTGGTCAACAACTTTTAACTAATATTTGCTTTGACAATATTCCCAGATAGGCAACATAAGGCCTAGAATAGAAACTTCGTGAGGAGGCACAATTTCTTAGATTGTGCGTTTAAAACGCGTGATTTATTTGTTTGTTTGTTTGTTGCCTTCAGTTTCTAGCTTCTCTATCATCACTGACCACAGGAAAACATGTCTTGTGTGTCGGGATGAATGTGCCTGGTACCTGGATTTGGAGTTGTCGGTTGAATGCGCTGGAAGTGGATGGAAAACACTCACATTCATTGAGCACCTACGATGTGTCCAGAATTTTACTAGGTGTTTAAGAGTTTGTTATTATACCCATTTTGTAGTGGAGAAGACCGAGGCCCAGAAGAGTCAAGTGACTTGCCCAAGGTCACACCCTCCCTAATGATCAGAACCCGAGTCTACCTGGCCCCTAACCCCAGGCTCTTTCTGTCATGTCACAACCGCCTCACAGATAAAGTAAAGCTAATTTCATTTGGAGGATTATCTGCTCTTCACCTCCTTGGAATGTGCTTATTTTTTAATCTAAACAGGGGATATGTTTGGTGCACAGGAAGCTATGTGGACAAAATTGACCTAACCCATCCCTCTCGCTAATAGAAACAAGTAATCTTATCTGTCATTCTATTAAAAATACACCACATTCCTCTATGATCCAGTTTGGAAAATGACTCAAGAAAGGACAATCTGTTTCTGCATCACAGCACCCCAAGGCCTCTCTAAGATCAGCAAGAGTAAATAAGCCACTGCTTTTCTCAAATATTTCATTCACTGATTCCAAAGCACTTTTACGTGTAATTAAATAGAATAAAGAGCAGCAGCCTTCTTGATAGTTGGGCCAGAGGTAAGCCCAAGAAAGTCTCCGTTGCTGAAGATCACACATGCTGAGGCCCCCTTCAGTGGAGAACAGCGATGTGGAAGTTAGCTGAAGTAGCTGAAAGAGGTGCGCTGTGCTCTGAGCCCACGATCTCAGCCTCGGCCCATGGGAGACGCTCCCTCTCCGCCATCTTCCAAAGTGCTTTGCCGACATTCTCCTGATGCTCCCAATATCTAAAGATAATCCCTTTTCCCCTAAACAGGATCTCAACCTAAAATAGATCTGAGTATGTGCCACAGGGCTTGAACAAATGACTCAGAGGGCCATTTCAGATCTCGGAAGCAGGGAAGGCTCTTCAGAACACATGAGCACAGTCTGGGAACTAGTTAGTACTCAAGGAACAAGCAAATGACAGCTGGAAGGAAGGAGTTCCAAAGAACATGTCACCTGAAGGTTTCTTTGCACACATGAGGCAGCTGAGGCCCAAGTACCCCACAGTTATGTCACTGCGGAACCTCATTCCAGCCTGATTTTCCAGGCCCTCATTCTCAGGCTGCACAGGAGGCCATATATCGACCATAAATTAACAGATAAGGCCCAGGGGTGCCCTAACCTAGGCATAGGTGGCAAATGGACAGGTTTTTAATGTGTGGATGTGGTTCAGCATCAAGGATGTCAGAAGGGAGTCTCTCTTAGAAAATGTGTTGATTTGGCATTTTCTCCATTTGGATTTTGTGTGGTTACTGTTTTATGTTTCTCCTTCCTTTCACATCATCTGAGTTTGGTTTGTGTTCAACTCTTTGTGTCCAACAGTAGGGCGGTGGTTAAGTAGGTCCTAATAAGTCCTCAGAACAGACTACCACCCTCCATTTAGATTATCTGGTAAACAGTAATAAGAGCTAACATTTATTGAGCTTTCCTACATTCTGTTTCCACACTCAGCATTTGACACGCATTTTTCTCCTGTAGTTCCCACAAGAACCCTATGAGGTAGGCAGTATTAGTCTCCTCGTGTTAACGTTGAGGAAACTGAGGCAAAGAGAGCTTACAATCAAATGACTGAGCGGTGAAGCTGGGATTTAAACCTGATTCTATCGGCTCCCATGTTCTTGAGCCATATATTATTCTACACACAGAGAAGAATGCTCAGAAGTCAACGAGACAGGGAGAAAAGCTATATGGTGGGTTCCAGCTTGGTAAAATAGACCTATGCTTATGCGTTTGGAGGTACATCTCCACTGAGAAAATTCTAGAAGGACCACTCCAACGTCAGTTCCTTGGAGCAGTGTTCTCTGACCATACTAAAAGCCATCCCACCCTGCCCCTGTTATTCTGTATTTCTTTCACATATTTGATTTTTTTTTCATGGCCCTTATCATTCCTTGAGATGTAACATATGCTGGAGCCATTTATTGTCTAGCTGGCTTCTAGAATGAGGGGCGGGACAATTTCTAAGAAAATGCCTGGCATGTTGTAGGTGTTTAATAAATATCTGTTGACTTGAATAAGTGTGCTAAACTCTTCGTGTTGGTGGTTTTTTCCTCTCTCACTGTCAAAGAGGAACAATTTGGATTCTTGATACTTAAATGGATTAGACTCTTTTTTATGTTTCATTTGAAATCCTCTGAGTAGAAAAGAAAAAAAAAATTCATCCCACTTAAAGATCGAGAAGTGAAAATGGCCTACTTAGGAATGTAAAAAGTGGATCTCCACGGTGGACCTGTACCTTCTCAGGAGAGAAGGTTCTCTCAGTTGCAGAAGAGGAGGCCACTGGAAATCTACTGAGATAAACTTGCTTTGAGTCAAAAGAGACTCATTAATGTTTCAACTGCTAATCCATTTAGTGTCCTATTCACCTAGATGTCTTTTCTGAGCAACCCCCTGGTGGTTTTAGAAAGATAAATTTCCAGTCACCGGGCTCAATTGACCAAAAGCAAAAGACAATTGACTGCAGAGGAAGGGACTGACTCAGTTTTTGAGATGAATGAATGGCCTCCTATCTGGCCAATGTGAAAATGAAAGGGACACTTGGAATGAGCTGATACCAGATGGTTACATGTTATCCCAATTATAAGCTCTCCTTTCTCCTCTAAAAAGGATTAGGCCCCCTGTGAAGGGGAATCTTGTCTTCAAGTCCTATGGCCTTGACCTTCCTTTGTACTTTAAACCAGGCATGGCAGTTATTTGAGATTTTTCCTCAGCCATCTCCTTCTGAAGGGTGAGTCTTGCCCCATCAGCAGCCCCACGAACCATCTAGAAGTCAGGAGCAAAATATCCTTGCATTCCGGGCAGAGGAGGGGGCTGGCTGCTTTGGCCAGCTTCCTTCTCCCTTCCCCAAACAGACCCAAGCTCCTATATAAAATTCATAAATTCTTGGCAGGAAAGAAATCCTCCCATTGGAAGGAACAGATGTTCTACGAGTAACTTTTGCCATTATACTCTGTTCCTAATATCATAGTTTTAAAGTGTGGGGGGATGTTAACTTTTTTTAAAATGTCAACATGTTCTGGGCAGCTTTTCCATCGCCATCTGTGGCATACACATCACCAATCCTCCTGCCGCCCCTTTTTAAATTTCCAGAGACTGGTTGGGAATTGGAAAGATATTAAAAAGTTGAAAGCGGAAAATTCACTTGAACAAGTATGCTAATGTATAACCTAATGCAGAAAGTAATATGATGTTTCCCTCTCAGTTGTAAATCGCAGAAACTTTCTTTCCCTTGTCCTCTTAGAACTTGGAGGGGTCTAGGAGACTTTTAACAAGGTAATTATGACCAATTAACATTCAGGGGTTATTACTGGTAACAGAGTTCCATGGGAGTAACCTATTCATAAAATTCCCTTTCTAAAGAAAGCCTCAATCCGGCTTCAAATTCAAGAGGCTACCAGGCCATTTTCACTTCGTTATCACCTCGTTAAACTGCCCACCTTAAATGCCAGGGTCCCAGGTGACCGCGGGGAAGGGTCAAGGTCAGTGGATGATGCCTCCTAACTCGCCGGGGAGTAACTTCAGAAAACGTGACCTCACTTTGGTTGGTCCAAGGTGGGGTCCTCTCCCCAGGGACAGCGATGCTGTTTTGCAGGAATTTTGGTGAGGGTTCAAAGTCAGAATTCAGTGCTCTGGCGGCGTGGGGTGTGGACTCCGCAGAACAGAAAAGAGAGGAGGGGACAGCGTGGGCGGGGCGGGGTGGGGTGGGGAAGCAGCGGACCGACATTCAAATACGCAGGGGATCCTCCCGGAGTCCCGGCTCTTTGCCGGGGTTTCCCCTCCTCCGCCCGGTGGGAGCCGGGCGCCTCTAAATCCCCAGATGCCACGCAGGGCCCAGTGCCGGGAGCGCCACGTCCACCCCGGAAGACCCTGTCCCTGGAGCCTTTCGGTGTCCAAGTGGACCGCGCATGCAGGGCGGGGCGCAGGGGGCACCCACGTGTGGCGCTGGCCCGAACTCGGGGTCCGGGGGTGGCGGAGGCGGGGTGGGGGCCAGAAAGGCGCACGCGGTCGCCAGAGCCCCTGGGCGCCAGGGGCCGGAGGCGGGCGCAGAGGCGAGCGCGGTCTGCAGTGCCCCCCTCCGGACGGCCGGGAGCAGCACGGCTCCCCGCGCCCCGCCTCTGCGTGGGAGACCCGCGCCCCTCCGCCGCTGCGGAGGCTGACCCCCTGTTAAGGAATTTAAAGTCAAGTCCAAGTGGATTCTCCTGGCTCTGTCGCTTACTGGCTTTCCGCTCGCGGGAACTCGGGATTCCTGCCTCCCTTTGACTAATGTGAATACTAACCCGGACAAAATTAATGAAATAATTAAGTGAGACAATGCGCTCAAGCACCTGGGTATATGGTAAGTGTTCACTAATGGCTGGTCTTTTATTATTATTATTATTATTATTATTAGCTGGCTAGACCTTGGATGGGGGGAGGGTCTCACTCCAGTCTGCTCTTCTATGGTGGGTTTGGGGGAGGACAGGGAGGGATGGTTTCTCCTCTGAAGTGGAGAAGGAACCTGAGCACTCAGCAGGGGATCCAGCCTTCCTGTGCCACTATCTCCACCTATAACTGTGGACTCGGCATCCCCTCTTTGAACCTAATATCCTCATTGCAAAATAGGAATAATCACACCCAACTCACAGAGTTTCTGTGCGATAAGAACTGCAGAACGCCTGGCCCATGGTGGATACTCGTGGCAAACCTCCCTCCTAGCTGGCAGCCAGCAGATCCCAGAACACCTGTACTTACAGCACATGGCAGGTACAGTGCAAAACCCTTGTCCCTATATACACAAGCAGTGAACACACCCAGGGTCTCTTTTCTCACAACACGTGGTAGGTGCTGGGTGCAAGCTCCTCCCCCCCCCCCCCCCCAACCCCAGTCAGTCAGCATGCCATTTATTGACTACTTACTATGTACCTGTCTGACTCAGGCAGCTGGGGCTGCAGGAGCCTCACACTGCTGGGGTCCCTCTACTTCATCTCCCCTGGAAACCCCCTTCCAAAGATGCCTCATATCTGTTTTGGAAACTAGTAGTGTCAGGAACAACAAGAATGCACACTCCTGACCACGGAGTAATAGAATGTACCGTCAGAGGACCTGGCTGTCAAGGGCGGCCCTTACCGGTTCCTGGCTGTCTATCCTGCAACCTCCCTGAACCTCAATTACCTCATCTTTAAAAACTGAGGCAATAACACTTTCTGGAATGGACCAGTGTGAGGATGAGCAGATACGTGTGTACGAAAGCACTAAACACATAATAGGTGTTCAGTAAATATTAATGTATTATTACTTGTTTCCAGCATGAAGCAGGTGCCCAATGAGTACTCATCAGATTGAACTGGGCTTTCCCTCTTTACAGAGGTCTGTACTTGGGAAAGCTTCCCTTCAGGTGCCCTCCCTGTTGTCAGCTTTGCCAAATGCCAAGCCCTGTGACCTGCCTCTCCCCACCTCTTTCTAGAGTTTGCTACCTTGCATGTAGGAAGAGTGATGGATCTTTCCAGAGTTGAAAGCCTGGTTATTACTGCCTCTCTCAGACCTGCTCTGAAACCCATTGTGTCCCATTTGGAAAATGGGAAAAAACAAAAACACCGTGTCCAATCTTTATATGGGCCTTGGCAGTCACGTTGCACTATTGTGTCTGTTCTATTACTTAACCTTCAGTACGGTTCGTTTTCCAGATGAACCTCACGGAGGCAGAGCGGCTGACACAGTGCTCGTTTCCATGATACACAGTTGCTGCTTGTGCTGCCACATTTTCGAGCTGCTCTCCTGGGCTGTGACATGGGGCTTCTCTCTGGCCATCGGAGCAAGCCTTCCTAGCGACTCTTTCGAAATGATAGCACATGGACTTTGCTAATACATAGCATTAGGCAAATTAGAGCTTTCCCATAATGTGACAAGGTGTGTGAAAGCTGTTACTGTGCCCAAACTATTCATTATGGGGCCGTTTGTTTAAAGGCTGTCCTGGCGGCTTGGGGACGGTGTCTTTGGCTCTCTGACTCACAGGAAGCAAAAATAAGTTACTATCAGGTGATGGTCATGCTTAGAAGCCAAACTAAAAATGAGAAGGTTTGTCATCTTTGAGAGTAGGGCAGTGGCTGCTCTTTCAAAGTAGTAAGTGCCAGGCTGCTCAAAATGTAAGCTTTTCTTTGTGCCATGCATTTTTAAAATGTTGTTATTTATTTATTTATTTGGAAGAGAGAGAGAGAGAGAGAGAGAGAGAGAGTAAACACATAAGCAGGGGAGGGGCAGAGAGAGAGAGAGAGACACACACACACAGAATCGAAGCAGCCTCCAGACTCTGAGCACAGAGCCCAATGCGGGGCTCAAACCCACGAACCGTGAGATCATGACCTGAGCTGAAGCTGGACGCTTAACTGACTGAGCCACCCAGGCGCCCCTGTGTCACGCATTTAAAAAAATAAAAAAAATCGATTTACCAAGCAGTTGATCAATAATCATGGTGTGCCAATTTCTATGCTGGGCAACACACAAAGGGACATGATATGGTTTCTGTCAGCCAGCATTTCAGTCTAGTAGGAGAGATGTGTTTCTTAAGTGAGCCAATAGTCCTCTGCAAAGTAACCACTTGGTGGGGGCTTGTGAGGCCAGGCCAAGGAAGGTCCAGGTGAGAAGCAGTTGCTGAAGGGCCCCACCCAAGACAGGCTCTCGCATAGTGTCGTTAACCTCATTTTCAGACCAAGAAATGGAGGCTCTGAGAGGGGAGGATATTTGCTGGTTCATGGGGGATTCAGTTCAAAACAATTTCATATGTCGTCTTCCAGCCCAGGGCAAGTCATTGCCACTGTTGAAGAGACTTGTCTTTAATTGGGATCTGTGTACAGTGGGAATTAGAGTTTGCCCAGGTGTATACCAGCTCTTTGGCTTTCCAGGTTTCTAAACTGTGTCAGATGCAACCCCATCCTGCCTGTGTTTCAATTTTCCACAGAGTTCTATGGGAAAAGAAGTATGACTTCCGGTCTCTGTGTTTACGCTGGAAGTTGAATGAAACCATTTCTCTTACTTGCTCCCAAAAGGATTGGTTTTATTTAGCAAACAAATACATCAGGTATCTCAAGCTTTTGGGGGATGAAACAAGTTTTTGTTGTTGTTTCTTATTCAGTTTTATTGATATGTAATTGTGCACCCAAAACTGCATATATTTAATGTATAAAATTTAGTGAGTTCGGACAGATGCATACACCCATGATTCTATCACCATTGTCAAGGTAATAAACATATCCATCACCTTCAAAAGTTTCCTCGTGCCCCTTTGTGTGTGCGTGTGCGTGCGTGCGCGTGCGTGTGTGTGTGTGTACGTGTGTGTTGTTGCTTTTGTGACAGGAATAGTTAACATGAGATTTACCCTGTTCACAAATTTTTGAGTGTATAACACTGCATTGATAACTGTAGGCACTAGGTTGTACAGCAGATCTCTAGAACTTACTCATCTTGCATAACTGAAACTTTATACCCATTGAGCAACAACTCCATTTTCTCCTCTCCCAGCTGTTGGCAACCACACTCTATTTTCTTAATTTTTTAAAAAATTTATTTATTTTGAGAGAGAGAGAGAGAGAGAGAAAGAGTGCACATGTGTGCACACAAGCAAGGGGAGGGTCAGAGAGAGAGAGAGAGAGAATCCCGGCTGTCAGCACAGAGCCTGACAGGGAGCTCCATCCCACAAACTGAGATCATGACCGGAACCAAAGTCAAGAGTCAGTCGCTTAACCGACTGAGCCACCCAGGGGCCCCATTTTCTGCTTCTCTGTTTGCCTAATTTAAATACCTCATATAAGTGGAATCATGCAGTATTTGTCCCTCTGTGACTGGCTTATTTCACTCAGTAAGATGTCCTCCAGGTTTACCCATTTTGTCACAATTGTTATAATTTCCTTCTTTTTTTAAGGCTGAATAATATCCCACTGTATTCATGTAACACATTTACTTTGCTCAGCTGTTGATAAACATTGGGTTGTTTCCATATCTTGGCTATTGGGAAGAGTGCTACAATGAAAATGCGAGTGCAGATACCTCTTGGAGATCCTGATTTCAAATATTTTGGATATATATCCAGAAGTAGGATCGCTGGACCATATGGTAGTTCTATTTTTAATTTTTTGAGGAATGTCTATAGTGGTTGCACCATTCTATATTTCTCTCAACAGTAAACAAGGGTTTCAGTTTCTCCACGTCCTTGCCAACGCTTGTTATCTTTAGTTTAGTTTAGTTTTGTTGTCGGTAATAACCATCCTACCTACCAGGTAGGTAATAACCAACCTGTCTCATTGTGATTTTGATTTTATTTCTCTGATGATTAGTGATGTTGAGCACCTTTTCATATATCTAGTGGATATTTGTATATCTTTGGAAAAATGTCTATTCTAGTCCTTTGCCCATTTTAAAAATTGGACTATTTATTTTTTGCTATTGAGTTGTATGAATTCCTTGTGTGTTTTGGACATTAACTTCTTATCAGATAAATGGCTTGCAAATATTTTCTCTTTTTTCATTCTGTTGATTGTTTACAATTCAGAAGCTTTTTCTTTTAAGTTTATTATTATTATTATTATTATTATTATTTTTGAGAGAGAGAGAGAGAGAGAGAGCATGAGGAGGAGCAGAGAGAGGAAGACAGAGAATCTGAAGTGGGCTCCGTGCTGATAGCAGAGAGCCTGAAGTGGGGCTGAACTCACCAACTGAGAGATCATGACCTGAGCTGAAGCTGGATGCCCAACTGACTGAGCCACCCAGGGGCCCCTGTACAGACACTGTTTATGATGTAGTCATGAGGAAGTCTCATGCATCTATTTTTTTGTTGCCGGAGCTTTTGGTGTCATATTTAGAAAATCATTGCCAAAACCAACGTCAAGAAACTTTCCTTCTGTGTTTTCTTCTAGGAATTTATAAGTTGCAGATCCTCAAAGACTTAAGAAGTCTTTGATCTGTTTTGAGTTGATTT